AACATCAGCAGGAAGGACTCTTTAAAGTAGAGACCTACATACTGATATACACCTGAACATCAGCAGGAGAGGACTCTTTAAAGTAGAGACACTACAACTGATATACACCTGAACATCAGCAGGAGAGGACTCTTTAAAGTAGAGACTCTACATACTGATATACACCTGAACATCATCGGAGAGGACTCTTTAAAGTAGAGACACTACATACTGATATACACCTGAACATCAGCAGGAGAGGACTCTTTAAAGTAGAGCCACTACATACTGATATACACTGAACATCAGCAGGAGAGGACTCTTTAAAGTAGAGACACTACATACTGATATACACCTGAACATCAGCAGGAGAGGACTCTTTAAAGTAGAGACACTACATACTGATATACACCTGAACATCAGCAGGAGAGGACTCTTTAAAGTAGAGACACTACATACTGATATACACCTGAACATCAGCAGGAGAGAAACTCTTTAAAGTAGAGACTCTACATACTGATATACACCTGAACATCAGCAGGAGAGGACTCTTAAAGTAAGAGGACATCTACATCGGATATACACCTGAACATCAGCAGGAGAGGACTCTTTAAAGTATAGAACACTACCATACTGTATATACACCTGAACATTCAGCAGTAGAGGACTCTTAAAGTAGAGAACTCTACTGATATACACCTGAACATCAGCAGGGAGGACTTTAAGTAGAGAAACCCTCCATATAAACTCAGCAGGAGAGAACGCTAAGTAGAGACACTACACATACGATACACCTGAAAATTCAGCAGGAGAGGACTCTTTAAAGTAGAACACTACATACTGATATACACCTGAACATCAGCAGGAGAGGACTCTTTAAAGTAGAGACACTACATACTGAATATTACACCTGAACATCAGCAGGAGAGGACTCTTTAAAGTAGAGACACTACATACTGATATAACACCTGAACATCAGCAGAGAGAACTCTTTAAAGTAGAGACACTACATACTGATATACACCTGAGCATCAGCAGGATGAGGACTCTTTAAAGTAGAGACACTACATACTGATATACACCTGAACATCAGCAGGAGAGGACTCTTTAAAGTAGAGACACTACATACTGATATACACCTGAACATCAGCAGGAGAGAACTCTTTAAAGTAGAGACACTACATACTGATATACACCTGAACATCAGCAGGAGAGAACTCTTTAAAGTAGGACACTACATACTGATATACACCTGAACATCAGCAGGAGAGGACTCTTTAAAGTAGAGACACTACATACTGATATACACCTGAACATCAGCAGGAGAGGACTCTTTAAAGTAGAGACACTACATACTGATATACACCTGACCATCAGCAGGAGAGAACTCTTTAAAGTAGAGACACTACATACTGATATACACCTGAACATCAGCAGGAGAGGACTCTTTAAAGTAGAGACTCTAAATATTGATATACACCTGAACATCAGCAGGAGAGGACTCTTTAAAGAGGAACATGTCCTCTTGAGGATATCAGAGAATCTTCTTTCAAAAGTGAGGTTAAGTAATAATCCTCCTCTCCGCTCACCCTCCGTATTCTCTCCTGGTATCTGACTGTAGCTGCAGGAACGATCACCCTCTGCCTCCACTCGGAGCCGAAGAAATGTTCCAGATCTCTCTCCAGAGTTTGCAGACGAGCGAGTTCCTGAGGGAAGTAGATGGGAGCGACGGCGGGGTGTGAAGCGTTTCTGTCCAGCTCCTCCTCCAGAGCTCTGTAGATCTCATACAGCGAGCACAGCAACAGCTGAGGGACAGTTCAGGACAATGTGTCAACAAGTCATATCAAATACACTCTGTTAAAGCTCATTATTTTGTACTCAGATCCCTTAAAACTTGAGGAAGTGTCCCTTATTAAATGTTTTACCTTGTACTGAGGCAGGGTGATCTTTCCTTTCTGGTAGTCCAGCATCAGCGTGGTGTTTTCAGCTCGCACATGACTGTCCTTAGTGGCTGCTTTAATCTGCTCCGATAAATCACTGAAGATGGGCAACACAAAGGACACAGTCATTCAAATATATATCAATCTGACACTGTCTTTGGAACACACAACAAAATGCAACAAATATCAAACTTTGAAATACATACTTTTATACTGAAAAAACTTAATTTACTTTTAAATCTGGAGCTAGAACAGTTAGGGTAACATTTGGACTTCAAAAACTAAAATTGGATTAAAAATGATTAACAAAAAAGACATCTAAAGATTGTCTTTGGAAAACAAAGTAAAATGCAAAAGACAGTATACCAAGAACAACGACCTATCTCAATTTCTGAACGAACCCGGGGAAGTGGGGCAGGATAATATGTTACAATATCTTAAAATGTAAATGACTGTGATAGCCTCTGCAGAAATACGGTCCTATTGCTGGAAAACTGGATAGTTCCCGATGTATCAAACTGCTCTTGTTGTATGTATGTACCAATTTAATTTAGTGTCGTTATTTTTCTTTAATGTAAAGTAATGTAGTTGTCCTGTGTATATGTATGTATTGCTTTTGGCTCAATGTTTTCGTCTTATGTATGGCATTTTTTTTGTATAAAAAGAATGCAAAAGACAAATCTCGGTAAAATATCTTTAATGACTTCGAAAACCATAAAATCATATCCTTAAAATAATAAGAATTGATCAAATCTATATAGATGAAAAAGTTACGGTAAGATTTGGCATTCAAAATCTAATTTGGCTTTGAAAAAACACATATATAAATATATGTAAATATAAAACTCGATTTACTAACTATTTCGACTTATTACCACGGTGTACATTTCTGCTATTTTGTTTTTGTGTTTGACTTATTGTGTTATTTGTAACGTGTGCATAGCAATGTTTCTGCTGTTGTAATCATGTACATTCCCCCCATTGAGGGACAAATAAAGTATTAGTTAATGCCTTGGAAAACATATACAAATATATTGAAAACACAATAATCTAACACTGTAAGGATTGTCATTGAGATCACACAAGAAAAATAGGCAAAAAATAACAAAATAAAATATTGTTTGATGTTGTTGTCTAACCTCCTCTCCAGCCTATGTTTAATTTTAGTGTCATTATTACACATATATATATGTTCAATGCCAATGCTGTTTACACTATGTTTGTTCAAACAGTGTAGTGTATATCAATAGTTATCACCGCAATAAACCGTATCTTAATTTACTTTATTTATTCTGTTCTTGTACAGATCATATTCTATTGACATGTATATAGACTTTTTGCACTACTTTTTATTTAGTATTTTATTATATGTGTTGCATTGTGGGAGGAGCTCAGGTCAGAAGAATTTCATTGCCACTGTCGCTTAATAAAACATTTGAATTGAATTGTGATTATTATTGGGTTAATAAAACATAAAGTCCTACCTGCCGACGTCCTCCGTATCATTCTTCCTGGCACTCTTCATGGTCTCCATCTCTGCAGACTGGAACTAATGGTTGCTCTGTATTTAAAAATGTTGAAATGCACCTGCGATAAACTGAAGGCTGCTCGGTCCTCTGTTTCCTCTCAGCTCTGTGTCGCCTGTGTTTATATATGTGTGACTTTCTGCTGAGTCACATGGGAAGTGTGAGTGGGGTTTGATCATGGGTTTGATGCGAGTCATCACTCTACTGAGGCTTAAACATGACAAGGCATGTAGAGAGGACATCTGAAAACATGATGAGGCAAAATCAAAAACTCTACTTAATGCTCATTCTAGATAAAAAAACACTTAGGGGTGAAATGTAAAGAAATACATTTTCGCAAGTACTGTAAATAAGTCAAATAATGAGGTACATGCACTTTATTTTTGTAATATAACATGATATATATTAGTAATAAAGCGCCAGTCTGCATGATGAATACTTCCAATGACCCACTTCATATGGATATACTATAAAGGGCTCATTCTAAGGTAAACATACTGCATTCTTTAAACTAATAAATACATTAAAAAGGGAAATATATCTTAAGTTTAAGTCAAATAGGAAGTGTGACTACTGAGGCTTAAACATGACAAAGCAGTTCTGTGAATAAAGAGAGGAAATCTGAAAACATGATGTGGCAGAAACCTTGTAAATATTATAATATTCAAAAAGAATATATAACTATTAAAACAAAGATTCAAATGTTTATATAAAATTATATATATATAGGCTATATATATATATAGTTATATACATTTAAATACAGGATATGATGATTACTCTAAAAAATGTATCATTATTTATATATATATATATAGTTATACCTTTACCAGCTGTGACAAAACCAACTAATGTATCAATGATCATAATCCAGACATTACACATAATAAGTACTTTTAATTAGGGCTGTCAAACGATTACAATTTTTAATTAGATTAATCACAGTTTAAAAATTAATTAATCATGATTAATCACCATTCGAACTATGTCCAAAATATGCCATTTCTTTATGTATATTGTTGTGGGAATGGAAAGATAAATGAAAGAAGGCGGATATATCCATTTAACATACAGTATCTATGTTTATTATAACATTTTTCTGCGTGTCAAAATGAAAGACAACCCACACACCTATCAATCATCAAACCGTGGGGTCTTAATTCATTACAGTGTTGATTTCTATCAACGGGGGAGTACTTCAGGAAAGTCGACAGAGGGGGGGCTAGTGGAGTACTTCGTGACCACAGAGTGTGAACGATCAGCTGTTTTAGCGCAGTTCTCCAGTGAAGGGGGGAGTCTCCCTCCGCAGCCGGTTGGCGTAGTTTTGACACAATTCCGTTGTACAGACCGACGTTAACAGCAGCCCTGTCTGTGCACACGGAGACCGACTCTGTCGTCCGGTGATCTAACCGCCTTCTGGAAAAGCTTCACAAGTACGTCATCGGTACGCAAATGCGCTTTGTGACACAAGTGACGGTACGCATTTCAGATTACGCACATAACCTGCGTACCAGTTATGTGCACCCCTGTACTACAGCAAAAGTATTCTCCGTCGGGACTTCCTGCAACAACACCACGCCGTTATCAAAGATGTTCTATTGAGAAGACGATCACTACGTGACAAAAGTTTTCAAAACCGTGGCTACTGAAATCAATCTTACTAACTGCTGTCTGTGCAATTTACTCCGCGCGAGTTGGCAGACTTTATTTTGCTTACTTTAACATCATTTGTCATGGTGGGGCTAAGCCATTTCTTGGTATGGGTGTAGCCCATGGTGTAGCCTACCCCAGCCATACCCTGGCGCTGCCACTGGTGGCACGTATAGGGCGGGCCATTCTGCACATGCGTTAAATGCGTTAAATATTTAACGCAATTAATTCAAAAAATTAATTACCGCCGTTAACGCGATAATTTTGACAGCACTACTTTTAATGTTTCAGTACTTTTACTAAAAGTACGTTTTGCAGGAGACTAACTTTACCAAGTATTTTCACACATTTGTACTGCTACTTGTACTTAAGTAGAATACTAGAGTACTTCTTCCATATCATGTCATTTAAGGTTTATTATTACATTCTAATTGAGTCATAGAGATTATTTAGGTTGATTAAACACACTTTGTGGACTCCTCATCACAACAACCCAGTGAGATCCAGCCCCTCTCCCCTGTCTGGTATGTTGTAGCCCCGCCCCCTTATGCAAGCAGCCTCCATTGGTGTGTGTTGAGGGGGAAGTGTGTTGTAGCGGATTTCATACACACACTCACACACACACACTTTAAAATGCTCCACAGTAAACATGTAGACTTCATACATGTTGAACTACACATGTTGCGTCCAAGGGCTCGCCTGATGTAAAAGGTAATGGTGTGTTTATGGATCATAACGCCGGACACTCATCTGTTCACCGGTCGATGGCAGAGCCGCATCCCCAGGAGAGGCACTAACCGTCGGCTGGAGAGCTGCTGCACACCCGGGGGATTACATGCTGTCTAAATGCACGTTTACACCTATTTAAAGTCGGTATATTATATATTATCCCATTAGATGCATGTGTTGTCTAGTGAGTCGCCATATTATTTTGGATTTGTGGATGTTTTCAGGAGTAGAGGTGTTAATGTTGGCTAATCATGGCCCACATGCAGGGAGTGAATGATGCAGTGTTATGGAGTTACTTCATAACACTGCATAAAAACATGATTGTAATGTATTGAATTACATTTACTCTAATACTGTACTTAAGTAGCCTAACATTTTAAGGTAGCCTGCTTGATGGTGGAAGGAGTTCTCATTTAAAAGTAGTAATACTGATTTGTAAAAATACTGTTGCAAGTTCAAATGTATTTAATATTACTTGAGTAAAAGTACAAACGTTTTGGCGTCAAAATATACTTAAAGTAGGCCTTATACAAGATGGGAATTCTCAAGCAGTACAAGTACCTCAAAACTGTACAGTACTTGCGTAAATGTACTTCATTACATTTCAGCATTGTATTAACTCATGTACTGTACTTAAGTACAATGTTGAGCTACTTTACCTGAGTATACTATACTATATACTTTTAATTTATTACATGTTGGACTCTAAAAATAAATATATTTGGATGTAACCCCTTTGTATTTACCAACACTTTGATTAGTAACTGTCATTTAATTACATATTTTGTCTTAGTAAGTTTAACTAGTAGGCTACCCAGAGGTGTACACAAATACTCAGATTGTATAATTAGGTAAAAGTATCAGTACTTAATTGTAAAATACTGTTACAATTGAAAGTCCTGCATTAAAAATATACTGGTAGTAACTGTCATTTAATTACATATGTTGTCTTAGTAAGTTTAACTAGTAGGCTACCCAGAGGTGTACAAAAATACTCAGATTGTTTAATTAGGTAAAAGTAGCAGTACTTAATTGTAAAATACTGTAACAATTGAAAGTCCTGCATTCAAAATATACTGGTTTCCATAACATAGTGGAGTACAAGTACAAAGTAGCATAAAATGAAAATACTTGTGTATGGTGGAAGTACCTCAAAACCTCATACTTAAATTCAGTATTTAGTTTACATTACACCACTTGCGGGGGGATGATAGGTATCTTATGGTCCTACAATATTCTAACTACCCAATGGATTTTCTTTATGGTTTCTTATGCAACACTGACACACTTTGCTTTGTGTCCAACAGGTAATGGATTCAAACCTCCCTTGTTTAATCCTCCTCCTCTTGATTGGCTGTGTGAAATGCTCGTCTGATAACCAACACAATGGCAGCCGGCGCTTTGGTTACTGTGTGCTGGGAGCCGGGCCTGCAGGGCTGCAGATGGGCTTCTTCCTGTCCAAGGCCAAAAGAGACTACATCATCCTGGAGAGGAACTCAGGACCGGGCAGCTTCTTTAACAAGTAGGAAACCTTTTTGAAACTTGTCGTATGGTAAAGAAGCCCAGAGAAATTTCTGAAGAAAAATTGTAACTGTCTATCCCACACCTTAAAGGTAGGGTATGTAAGTTGGAGAAACCAGCTCGAGATCGCTAGAATTTAAAAATACACGACCGGAGAAAATCTGCCACTTCCTCACAGAGCCCCTCCTCCAACACACGAACGCGCACATGACCAATGAGGGCATGAGATAAGTTTGTGCACAGATGGAAGGCTGACAGGCAGGTAGGCCATCCAGTTACTTTAGCCGGGCCGGCTCAGATGATTGGTCGTGCTGTTTACAGCGCCACGGCTTCCACAGATGACATTTTTTATGTCATTTCATATTTATGGATTTTTTGTCAAAGCACTTAAGATATTCATTGCTATCGGGATGTTAAGAGCATTCCATGGGATATAACAAAAAGTGTATCTTGAACCGGTTTCTCAAACTTACATACCCTACCTTTAAGAAAAGTACGCCATGCACCGAACAGTGGGACTACAACTTCTGTGTCTTGGGCCCAAAACTACTTTATCCCATTGACTCACATTGGAAAAGGGATGACCGTAAATGAGCATATCATAGCCCGCATTCAGATCATTATATCCTAAAAGTGAAAAGTTCGCAAGGGTTTTCTCGACAATAGCAATGGGGTATTTCCATTGGATTTTGGAAAAATCAAGATCTGTTGCAAACACACATTTCTGATATTTCCACGTCTTGTTCAGTAGGATGATCTTCACCTATTAACACCACTTTATGATTTCTGAAGTAAAAAGCTAACGTTAGGTTATAAAGGAACTACAGCACGGTCACATGACTTCACGTCACCACTGCTAAGCTAAAGGTGGCTAATGTTGGGCTATAAAGGAACTACAGCACGGTCACATGACTTCACGTCACCACCGCTAAGCTAAAGGTGGCTAATGTTGGGCTATAAAGGAACTACAGCACGGTCACATGACTTCACGTCACCACTGCTAAGCTAAAGGTGGCTAATGTTGGGCTATAAAGGTAACTACAGCACGGTCACATGACTTCACGTCACCACTGCTAAGCTAAAGGTGGCTAATGTTGGGCTATAAAGGAACTACAGCACGGTCACATGACTTCACGTCACCACTGCTAAGCTAAAGGTGGCTAATGTTGGGCTATAAAGGAACTACAGTACGGTCACATGACTTCACGTCACCACTGCTAACCTAAAGGTGGCTAATGTTGGGCTATAAAGGAACTACAGCACGGTCACATGACTTCACGTCACCACTGCTAAGCTAAAGGTGGCTAATGTTGGGCTATAAAGGAACTACAGCACGGTCACATGACTTCACGTCACCACTGCTAACCTAAAGGTGGCTAATGTTGGGCTATAAAGGAACTACAGCAAGATCCGGGGAAGATTTGGGTATTTTTGTTCTCGAGACTCAAGCTATTTTGGCTTCAATGCGCCACTGAGTAACCTTCATAGGAATTAAGAGGGCCTCCAAAGCTGTATCCACTCCAGCTCTCGCTATACATCCATGGTCTAGCCTCCTGAATCACCTTTGCCTTCTCTGCTCTGTTTTGTCCTTCAAGGTATCCCAGGCACAGGAAGCTCATCAGCATCAACAAGATCCACACAGGAAGGCAGAACCGAGAGTTCAACCTGCGCCACGACTGGAACTCGCTGCTGAGCGATCACCCCGACCTCCTGATGAAGAGAGTGAGCTCTGAGTTTTACCCTCCGGCCGACGCCTTCCCCCTCTACCTGTCCATGTTTGAGAAGCAGCTCGGCCTGAGGGTCCGGTACGGTGTGGACATCGGGAGGATCAGGGCGGTGCAGTCGCCCAAAAACAGGAGCTACATCCTGACGGACCAACATGCTGCAGACTACACATGCAGGTAGTGGAACACCTGGCTGGATCAGGCCTACGTTGGGTCAGATAAGATAAGATGGACCTTTATTAATCCCTGTGGGGAAAGTCAGTAGTTCAACAGCAACAGGGTAAGAATGAAAAACAGGACAGCACAGATTCACACAGATTAGAGATTAATTAAATGAAAGATGCAAATACAATTATATAAATATTAAGTAACTTTTAAATAAGAAATGAA